TTTAAACCATCAAAATTCCAACTTTACGTAATGTAATGTGACTGTATGTATTGGGTGGTCAATTGAAGGCAGAAAAAGAGCAGAATTACATTTCATGGAGTGATGAGTTATGACCAATTTCAATTCCAGTATCAACTTATCACCCAATAAAGCTTAAAGCAGGGATGGACAAATCCCAGGAGACAGGTAGCCAATGCTTCTTAAGATATATATATATATATACGGTGCCTAACTTATGAGGTCTTCTCTAGTTGTTATTGCCAATGGAGCTGGCTCCTACAAAATCCTGTTGACGCCTGATTGGACAGACTAGCTCCTGAATTCCATATTAATTTCTCCACCGCTGGTTTAAAGTATATCTAAACCCAAGAACAAAGTTATATACAGTGCAGTTTAGTTCTTAGATGTGGTGACTGCAATAGTTTTTTTTCAGGCTTTTTATACTTGGAGATCCTGGTAAAAACACACTTGATGTCCTGGGGCTCACACTCTCTGCACTGTATCTATGGAAGAGCAACTCTCCTAATCTGGACTACAAACACCTCCTCTGCTCCTAATCTCCACAACATAAAGGATGTGTTCAACAAAGAGACAGCTGGGAAGACATTGCCTGAGATCTCAGTTCACGGCACAGGAAGTTACATGGACACTTATAGAGACTGTACTTAGCTAAAAAAAGAAAATGAATGCAGCCACTTCGTCTAAAGAGTTTTATTCTGCAATATTTTGTTCTTGGGTTTAGGTAAACCTTAGCGCGTTTCTATAGCTTAAACTTTTGATAGGCTGTGGAAGGGTAAAGTAGGGTATACACAGGTAGATTTTTTCAGGAACGTTCGTACAAAAATTTTTGTCGGAATGTTCAATAATACCATACGAGGCTTAGTGATTGTCATTCGAAATCTTGTTTGATTTTTGTTTTTATTTAACATTTGATTTTGGAATGAATGGAAATCACATTCAGAAAATTTTCCAACATGGTCCTTCACATTTTTTTGATCAATGCGATAGAAATCTATCATAGATTTCACTGCGTCAACAATTAGAAAGTCGAACAAACGTTCTAAAATTGATTTCGTTCATTTGAAATTCTAAACCCTACTTTAGATTTTGTATTGTTGTCTATTATTTCTCCTTACTGTATTATTCCTTTGTTGTTGTTGTAAATAGGCATAGTGCGTGCGTATTTACAACAGTTGTGTCTTAAGATCTTGACTGTGCGGCCATGATAATAACACAGCCATTATGAAAAAATATACTAGCACAGTTAAAGTATATCTAAAGTCCATATTGTGTTTGGTATAGAGTAGGAAATGGTTAAAAATGTATCAAGCTTTTTGCCTTCTGTCCCATTGGGAAGATTTCCCTTTACTTCTTGTCCTATAAGCAAAACAGGAAGGGAGATGGAATTTCTTCAAAGCAACAAATGTCCTTATTGGACAATTTCTTTTTCTGTTCCAGTGACAACCTAAACGTTTGGATTTCCAGTCACAGTGACAATGGTTATCAGGACAAAGAGAAGGTGAATCTCACCAACAGCAGGGTAGATAGCAATAAATTGTGACCGGGGTGCTAGCCCTTCCATACTCTATCTAAAACTAATGAAACGTTTTGGCTTTAAATACACATTAAAGGTAAAAATTGTATAGAGTGAATTTCGGATTCCTTGTATAGTTAGGCCATTTTATCGTGATAGTTGCTCTTTAAACCTATAGAAAAAAATACCCGATAAGTGCTGCCACATTAATAGCTGTTAACAAAGTGCATCACTCCACAGAACACTCCAGTGACACATTTCATTATTGCAGACTCTGGAATAATGGAAAAGTCTTGGAGTGATTTGTTCTGTTAGAACACAGGCAGGGCCGCTGACATACACTGTCCATATTCTTTCACAGTCCCTATTATGGTTCATTCTGTCCATATACTAAGCCACAGTGGCATGACAAACCATGAGAATCTTTCTGTTCCACATTTTCACCAAAGCTTTTGAATTCCTGGTAGCCTTACACAATGTACTGAAAAACAGATGACGGTAAAATAATGTTTTCAGCAGTCCCTTTCATGTAAAGAAAGGCCGTCGTTTCATTTAGGCTTTCCACCCTGTAATCATTTGTCCGTAATCTCCTTTATGAAAAATGTCCCATGAATGAGAAATTCATCAGCTTGCAGAGCAGTTGCACGTGTTCCTTATCACATCTGTGTGGTAGTCGCGAACAGGATTTTTTGCCTTATTTTCCACAGAAATTCTTGTGTCTTTTCCAGCATAAGTGAGTGATGTGAATTTAATGTTGATTAGCCTTTCAAGAACAATACCTTTTTTTTATGGGTTTCCCACTAAAGAATGCTAGTGACTTAATACATTTTCCACCCACATTCCATCTTGACTTCACAATAAGGTTGAAGAATATATAGCCCTGATGAATAATACAATAGTATATTCATCTAGCTTTAATTATTTATTAAACACAATAGTTTTGAACTGTATATCACTTATACTTGGCAGATCAGACTGCCCTTTTCCATTGGAATGCAGTGTGGTCTGTCTCAAAGCATTTCAAATACATATATGGCTTTATAAGAACATATGCTTTTGGCTTATTTCACTAACTAAAACGTACAAAAGGTTTGCATGACGTGAAGTGTAGTCGTGCAAGTTCTCCCGTTGATAGAGTTTCTGCACAATGGTGTACTTGAATGCCAGGGAGCATGCAAAGTCAAGTGATAACAGGGGAGTGTTCCTGGAGGGTGATTGCTGGCCTTTTGATTGGTAAGCAGGGATATCTTACAATACCTACCAAATGAAGCTCAGTAATATAAAATAGAAAAATTGTTATTGTTATTGCATTTAAAAAAGTTTTATGCTGCATGGACCACTTTCTTCAGTTTGACTCGAGCAAATGTAGACCCTGTCAATTATACCATTTCCCTTCCACTCTGTCAAATATCAGATTTCATCCATTAAAACACCCCCCAAAAATATTTAACTAGGTTATACTTGTGTTTTGGAGGAAGAAAATGGATCTGAGCAGCACAAAAAGACTGACCCACTCAAAATATGTAAAAATGTATACATTTTATTAAAAGCAATATGATATACCCATATATAGTTTGAATATGTTTGTTCCACATTTTAATGCCAGCTTATAAAGAGTAGTGAACCTTAGCTGGGAAAACCTACCTAGGTTCATGGTTACTAAAACTCTTGCAAAAATCACAGTAAAGGCGCTATCTTCCTTAGTAGCAGGTAAGTATCACCTGCTTTCAGCAGGAAAGAGTATTCAGAAACCTAGTTTAACACCTGATATTTACTGATAAAGTGGCAGGACACTGGGAAGGTATCAGTGAGGGGGCGTTGCAAAGATACTGTCATTTTGCCCTAAGTGGTAAAGCGGACAAGGTCTCTTTAAACCTTATTCTTAATGTCATATTCTGCGCCAGCTGAGCCTATACTTAAAGTGTATTTATAAGCAAAAAGAAAAAATATATATATTCCATACATCTTGCCAATCCATGCACAGTTCTCCATATTTTGTTTCGCTGTCCTTAGAGGATATTATCTGTGAAAAATGTCTCACCCTGCCATCCTCATCTTATTCATAGAAAAATATAACTCGGATGCAAAGCGTAGACAAGAGAAGAATGTGCGTTTGCATAGAGGAGAAGGTGAAGCTAGCCATACACACTTAGACTCTGAACAAGACTGAACAAGAGGAATCTATCAATTCCTCAATCCACACTCAACAGCGTGGATGGAAGGATCCCCTCTTTTGCATTTAGTAGCTGATGCTCTAGAGACTGCTGAATACATAAATGGCTCCTGCATCTGATTCGGCCAAGAATTTCCAGACCAGCTACTTTGACAAAAGTCGATAAAAAAAATCAAGTATTGTTAAGCCGAGGTGCCAACAGGGCCATCCGCAGCTTGAATTTCGACAGGATTCAGACGAAGTTTGAGCAGTATATGGCCAGCTTTAGCGTGGGGGAGAGGAGGAGGTTGTATGTTAGCATGGAGGAGGTAGAGAGTGGAGATGTGTTTAGGGTGTAGGGAGTAAGGTTGTCATAAATGTTAGAGAAAGACTGGATAGGTAGCCATGATCTGACCAACTTTTTACTGTTTTGCCTGATATATTCTGGTTAAACACAAGAGGTGGAAATAACAGAGTTAATTGAATTACTTTTTTAACCTCTTGCCGTCCGCCCGTAGTAGAAAAACGGACGGACACAGGTTACCAACAACTAAAGAATTTCACACAACAAGATAACAATGAAGAAAGAAAGAAAAAAAAAAGACTCCCAACCCCATTGACATCACAATACTTCCTTATTAGGTGCTATGCTAATAAGTACTTCCTTATTCCTTATTTTGGCAGTGAAATCACAGGGGGGGGGGGGTCTGTTTTTAGTAGTAAACTTAGTAAACTGAGCCATTTGGGGGAAACAAATTGCTCCTTTCCAGTAATTCCAGCTCATCCCTAAATATGTCCTATGGCCACTTGTATATAAATAGTGCATAGCAGGAATGGATCTGCCCATTTACTACTATAGATTACCACCTTAACTCAAGCTGTCACACCAGCTATTTGATTTATTCTTGTGAGATCATATTAATTTCCCATAAATAATAAATGATGAAACCTGTCTACCGTATCAGTAAGTTTATAATTTTATCCTACATGTACTGATACAGAAGACATGTGTAATCATTTTTAATTCATGGGAAATTAAGTATTTGTGTTGGTAAAGCACATTAGACTGCAATATGCTCCAATTCATTAACTTGTATATTTATCTCCCCTATGCTCATGCCCAGTAGAAATTTGCAGTTTCTGACAGGTACTCCTTATCTTGGCATAAACTCTCAGCAATCTGTGTTAACACTTCTTGGCTACTGCTTAGACATATGAGCAAACCTTCTCTTTTTTCAACTAAAGACAATTTGTAATCTGAATGTGTAATTAGAGAATCCAACCTATTAATTATAATGGTTTTCTTTCATGCAGATTTAGAGCAACAGTTGGAAACATTAGGACTGAATTTCCAGAACGCAACTAAAGAAATGCAACACCACAAGGACATTTCCATGTAAGCCGCTTTCCTTTTACTCCTAAACAAACAGCAGCATACAAGCGTTGCTCTCTATTCCTGACACCAGCCAGCCACTTTAGTAATATGCAGCTGCTGACTCGTAGACATCCGTTGATTATGAAAGGAACACCAGATGACCTATGCTGAGCTCTCCAACGGTTACTTTGGGGAATGTTTCACATACACTTTCCTTTTGTATATATTCAGGCTGATTCAGGAAGGTAATGCTAAGAACAGAGTTGAAGTACAAATAACAGTAACCGATATTAACCAACCCAGCACTAGATATAAAAGTTTTAGCTTACTGCCATGGAGAATATATATAGAAATATACATGTTAAACTGTTCTAAAGGTGCTTATATTTTAGAGGTAACTGATATCCATGGTAGTCTTTTTCTCTGTCAAAACACGGGCGGACGGTGGACTCTTCCCAGCAGGTGGATGCACATGTACGTGATTTTTTTTTGTCTGCTCGCTCGCGCCCAGAATCCCGCCGGGAATGTAAACAGCCGTTACCGGCTGTTACATACAAGCGTTCGGGCCGGCTCTACAGATTGTATGACAACGCACAGTGTGCCCCCCCATCTGCTGCCGCTTATCCTGGGCTCCACTATTTCCCCTGTGGACCCAGGACTGGCATAGCGGCTGCTCAACTGTACACAGAGGAGAGATCAACATTCTCCTACTTGCTGATCTCTCCACCGATCTTTAAAGGTGGAAGTGATGTGTATTACATCACTTCCACCTTTAGCTGTCATTTCTCTGGCTGCTTTAGCCAGAGAAGAAGCTGAAGAAGCAGATCTCTGCTTTATTAACTTCTTTGGGGGTCCCAAGTTGACATTAGGGGTCTTAGAGACCCCTGATGTCTCTATAAAGAGGACCTGTGAGTGTATATTTGTTATCACATAGGGGTTTGTTAGCCCCCTATGTGATAGCAACAAAGTAGAAAAGAAAAAAAATTAAAGTCACGGACATTAAAAAAAAATGAAAAGCACCCAAAAAAACGTAAGTCCCCTGCCCCCTCGTGGATGCACATATAAACGTAAATTTGTGTCGGGTGCTCCTATGTGCGAAAACAAGGATTACGCCACACATTTTGCATATCGCCGCGAATGTTGGAGTGAGAGCAATAATTCTAGGGCCATCACTCACTGTTTACACTAAACTGATGAGCAGTAAAAGCTTTTAAAGCATCGCCCATGGCCATTTAGGTATGGTAGTTTTTTGCGGGCGCACGCCATTTTAAAGCTTGACATGTTAGTGTCTATTTACCCGACCTGACCCCATCTTTTATATTTTACCCAAAAATTGGGTACGAATAAATGTTTTATAATATAACATAGACAAAACAGTTGTTTTTTTCAAAATTTTCTGAACGTTTTTCATTACATAGTAAAAAATAAAAACCCAAGTAGTGATTACATAACACCAAAAGAAAGCTCTATCTGTCCCCAAAAAATTGTATAACATTCATTTCAGTACAGCACTGCATGACGGAATAAATGTCCGTCAAAGTACTGCAGCGCTGAATACTGAAAAATGGGCTGGGCAGGAAGAGGGTTTAACACCCAGGTCAGCAAGTGGTTAAGCAATGCCTTTGACGCCCACTGCCTCTCCACACAGGAATATAACAGGTTTTGCAATATGGTAGTGCTCTTCGCAGAGACGAGGATATTTTAAGTGGAATTCTTAATGAATTTAAAAGATTGTTTTTAATAAAAGAAAAGGCGTAGAAAAATTATACATAAAAAGATGTTACATAAAAGAGAGACAAATAATACAACAGTAAAACAAAAGGGAATAAGAATGAAATGACTTGGGAAAGTCCTGGGTTCTATGGGTTCCAGCAGAGTCCAGGCAGTGAGATAGAAAATGGATCTGGTATTGGCTCTCTCGAAGTAAGGCTCTTGGCAGAGGTTCTTTTCTTGATGTTAAACTATAGTTTTTTTTTGATGGCACGCAAGAACTTCCAGCTGCTTTGTGCATTAGAGGTTATTGTAAACATCTAGATGGTATCACTGCAACAGTATGGGTGAAGCACTTTATGACCTCTCACCTGCCCCCCTCCATAATGTCAGTTTCACAAAGGTAGCCATATTTTTATGCACCCACATGTTACCACCCGATAAGCAATAGATAATTGTGCAATATGAAATTAGCTTTGCATAGATACCAGATTTGACATATTTGGGGTGAATGCCTCCCTCAGAAGGGGTAATGTGTGTCTTAGCCCTCTGGACCTCCAAAGTCCAGAGTGTTTAGTACGTCTGCAATCAGTATTTGCTGAGGCATCTATATATTCTTGTTATTCATGTATCACCCCCAGGTCCAAAGTTATGAATACAGAGTGAGATTTGTAAAATAGTTTTACAGGCAGGGTCATTTGAGGTTAATTTGCGTGTTATCAGGCCAGGCCATCTATGGGTACTAACTGGGGATTTTTAAGTGTGCTGGCTACTATCAGTTTATAGCCTTCTCATTTAAGGTTTTAAAGCTATGACCATAACCAGCCGGGCCTGAAAAAACAACTTGGGTACTTGGCAGACTGCAATGTGAAGGATTTTGTTTGAAGACGCTTTAACAAAAAAACAGTTGGGGGATTTATCAAAACTGGAGCAGACAGAGTCTGGAGCAGCTGGCCATGGCAACCAAGCAGCTCCTCTTTTCAGTTTGAAAGACAGAAACTGATTGGTTACCATAGACAGCTGCTCCAGCTTTTGTCTGCTCCAGTTTTGATAAATCCCCCTCAGTATGTATAATGCTTTTCTCATTTGATCATATCCAGAAGTGGCTTATTTCAACAAACTGAGGGGTCAAGGGGTTTTCTAATTGGATTGGGGTTCCCAGACCTCATTACCATCACAACCTATTAACCCTTTCGCTGCCAAGGACGTACGTCGTACGGAGCTACAAAAGTGCTTCCAGCAGCTGGTGTAATCCAAGAGAAGACATTAGCAATCTGTAGGTCTGCATTTCCATAATGCAGATATAAGTTGTCTGACATCCGATATAAATATACATACACATAGCTGAACTTGATTTGCTGATTTACTTGTAAATCTGCTAGGCTATTCTTGTGATTCACACACTTCTGCTACACTGCTTACCCAGAAGGATAATTTCACTATTTTTTGCTATTGTCCAGTTTAACAACTTCCTTATGCTGATTCGCTATCTAATAACAAAGCTGGAGTCGTTGAGGTCACACTAGAAGCTGCAAAGCTGAACCAGGAAAAAATAAAATAAGATTTAAAAAAAGGATATATATATATTTATTTATATATAGACACACACACAGAGATGTACTGGATATATACAGTATATTCCATTCCAATTACTTACTTATCTGTTTGCCTAGATCTTCTAAAAATGCATACATTAATGTCTACATAGCGTCAAACCATTATGTAATACTAGCCAAAAGTGAAATTCACCTATTCAAATTACGTATTGTTTGACCACCTTTTAAAAAAAAAAAAACTTTTGCTTTTACTTTGCCCTTTTCAAAGGGTTTGTCTTTCATGTTCATGGACAGAAGACTAAATGCCTGACAACCTGTAAATATTTGGAAAGCATAGCAACATATTATTTGTTATGCTAATAAAATTACATTAGGTCTGGATTATTTAAACTTTCTGAATTTTAAAATATATATTTTTTTACATTAAAACTGTTATTTACTTCCCAGGATACTGGCTAGAATCTACGCATAATGCTTTATTTTTGTATTCTAGATTTGGGAAGGAATAGATTTTACATCGGCAATATATTCACCTATAAACATACAGTATACTACTTGTAGGCAATATAGTGTTTTCATTTGGCTATAATTGTGCATAATTAACTGTTAACATCCATACCAATTGAAAGGCACATTTTGATGAGATCAGATTGGACATGATAATTTAAAAAAATTGCTGCACCAACCAAAGTTTATTAAAGTTCAAAATGTATACGCCAAAAAAATATAAATACCCTAACCCATAAAAACATTTAAAATCTGTTTTCTCAAGAACAAAAGCATGTGGCAAATACATCATCAATTCAAAAGTGGTATATACTATTGTATATGGTGCCTATTCATAAGCAATTCCCAGAGTAATTTGCCTTGTGAATCTCTGCTAACATTCCTTCTATGCAAATAGAGGTAAAAATTAATGTTCTTGGTATATTTTCTTTTCAGGTTGAATGTAATGTGATACCGAATCAAGGCCATTAGAACAATATTTTGGTTCAAGTGTTGGTCTGCAGGACTTCTGTGCAAAAAGCATGTAGAGAGGTTGCCTTTTCAATGGCAACACCTTTTAGGGATATCCCTGGATGCCTACATCAAGGAAATCACAGGGGGTAAGAGTACTCTTCATTAAAAAAAAGACGAGGTCTCCTGCACATAAACCCTTGGCTCCAGAAGCTAAGAAGAGTTTTGTTTTTCCTTCTTAGGCTTTGGGAACTTATTTCCACATAAATTCTTGTCCCACTAAACTCATCAAGTCTGGGACCAATGAAGATGGCCCCTCTTGCAGAAGTGAGGGGGATACCTGTCAGCCTTAATGATCATCTGATCCCAGAAAATCCCAGACTTTTGGGTCCAGAGCAACATGTACATGGGCTACAAAATGAGGTTTCAGTCTCTGCCTCCACCCCACTTCATGCTATCAAACCTACTCTCCTCTACAAAAATAGGGCAGATTTCAATGCTGCACTCCAACTGCTGCTCCCTCAGGCAGTCATAGTTCACATTCCAGTGGAGAAAAGATTTCATGGTTTCTATGCAAACAGTTCCCAAGGCAAAAGGGGGTCAATAGCCCCATCTTGAATTTGCAGCAACACAATTATTATTCCTTCAAGTTCAGAAATTTCTCATGGAATTGGTCAGGTCGGTCATTGCAGCAGGGGGACATGTTAGCCTCAGTGAACATTAGTGATGTGCTGGGGCTTTGTGTGAATCCCCTTCCATTTGGCCTGTCCATGGCGCCTTGGATCTTCACCAAGCTGC